TTGTGCCAAATAATTCAAATTAATTATTTTACACAAAATATAATCCTATTTATGTCATGCTAAAATATTATTTCACATATATTTATTTACTTATTTAATATTATTAATCTAGATACAAAATAGAGATATAAAGTAAAAGTGTAAATTTTTTAAGAAATAAATAATCAATAACCAAAATAATTATTTTTAAATAACAAAGGAGCGCGGTGTGACTTATTATCCTAGTTAATTGTGAACTGATATGGCGCAAATGGATTTATGCTAGATGCTAGATGACAGATGTGTATTGTCGTTTATTGGTGATGCGATCATATCAACATTTTATCGTTATTTTAATCTATAATTTGTCACGCGTGTCAGCTATATCGAAAGATGTGCGGATGCATTAAAGACAATTTAAAAAGTTATATAAAACAATAATTTATGTAGAAATATTTATGTATAAGTTACATAGAATTTCTAATAATCATTATATTGTCATATGAATCGTCCAGTTGCGCGTTGCGTAGTCGTTCAAAATAACTAATCGAAAGCTGTTAATCAAGTTGGTGTGTCAGAAACAACGCTTCATTCTTTTTACTATGCCAAAAACGATATCGACATTACAGACACCTTTTCAAAATCTAAAGTTTATAGCAATGCTCTATAGAATAATGGGTTTACTTTCGTGTAAATTAATAAAAGGTCGATTAAAACCAAGTGCTTGTGGCCGTTATTATTGTGCATCATGGATATTGATTCATTGTGCATACTCAGGTGTGTTTTATTATGATATGTACGTGCTATCGCTTAAAGAAGAAAGTGAATCAAAGATTATATTTTTCCTTATCTTACGGTTTACTGCTTTTATCGCCTCGTTAATTCCTTACAATTGGGTGGCCACTTTCCAGGACCAAGATCTTGTTATGGTAAATAACCGCTAAGTATTTCATACTAATATCGTAGTAAAATATAAATAATTGTAAACAGTGAAAAAATAAATAATTAGATGTGCTAAGATTCAAATACACTTATTACATCACTTGCGATAATATTTTCAGTTTTCCAACAAACTAGAAACGTATGATGACAGAGCGAGAGCATTAGGACACGAAAGAAAAGACAACCACATATTCATATGGCTATTTTTTGTGTTAACATCAGGCAATCTGGCTAGAAAGATATATTACGCTATATGGAGCAAAGTAGCGGACGGAACGATAGAAATAATAAAAATAATATTTGAAGAAGTTGTTCCATTTACCGTAGGCACATATTGCATCTATATAACTGGCATATTTTTGGACTTGATACGCCAACGTTTCCGTCATCTGAATGAAACGATAATACCTTTCGTTTCACAGTCACCTGTTATCAAATCGTCAGGGGAAATCACGATCTATGACGTGCGCTGTTTACATTGCGTGCTCATCGATAGTGCGAATCTGATAAATAAATTGTACGGTATAGGTAGCTTTCTCACCTCCTTCTCTATATTGATAGATTTCGTCGCATATACATATGGATTCGCAACAAATGGCAAAGATGAAAATGAGGTCGTAGCTATGCTGGATTTACTCTTTCAAGCCTTTTACATGTACACAATGTATCATTTTGTGACTTACGAAGTAAATATAAAAAGATTTACTGTAAAATATTAATTTTATAAGAGTATAATAATAAAGAGTTTATATTAAAATATTCAATAAGTTAACATTTCCTTGAAAATAGAATGTTCTTTTGCATCTAAATTGTTAAAAAAAATCTCGAGTATATTATTATTATTATTATTATTATTATTATTATTATTATTATTATTATTATTATTATTATTATTATTATTATTATTATTGTTATTATTATTATTCCAGGCAAATCGTGTTAAAGATCGTGTGCTAAAATATGGGCTATTCTTTCAAAACAACAAATATTGCATGGTAAACTTTAAATTTCTTCCTCTCTCTTTTCCATATATTTAACATCAAAATTGTAAATTATTTAATAAAAGTAATTTGTTACAGGACAGAACGGAGACGATGTTATATTTTTATCATAATAGATATATCTTCACAGCCGCAGAATTTTTCACACTTGATCTTACTGTATTATTTAAGGTAAAATCGATTATATATGTATATACAGGGTTTGTCCGGAAAGTAATGCGTCGCATTTTTTTAAAAAAGAATTTATTGATCGCATAGGTAAAACAACTTAAAATTGTTCGAAGTATGACCCTTCTGCGTCAATACATTTTTGCCAACGCGATTTCCATGCGTCATAAGATTTCTGGAACTCCTTGACTGGGATGCTGTTCAGGGAGGCCGTCGAAGTAGCTTGTACGTTGTCAACCGACTCGAGCTGTTGTCCTTTGAGCTCCCTTTTCAGCCGAGGAAATAAAAAAAAGTCCGCCGGGGCCAAGTCGGGACTGTAGGGCGGCTGCGGAAATTGGGATTATCTGCACAGAGTTGCTTGAGTTCTTCACAAACTTCCACTCGGTGTTGCTTTTGCGCATCGGTCAACACTCTGGGCACAAGTTTTGCGCAAATCTTCCGCATGGCCAAGTCTTCCGATACAATCTCGTGAACAATCGTTTTCGGCAAGTTCAATAATTCCGACATTAAGCGAACATTCATTCGACGGTCTGAATTCAATAATTGGCGCACACGAGTCACATTGTCGTCCGTTCGCGATGTTGACGGGCGTCCTGCGCGGGCCTCGTCGGCGACCTCCTTCCGACCTTCTCTAAACATCTTGTGCCATCTGTTTGACTGCGATTTGGAAAGGCAATCGTCCCCGAAAACTTTCTTGAGCATTTCAAAAGTTTCCAGCGGCGTCTTGTCCAGCTTCACGCAAAACTTTATCGCATAGCGTTGCTCTATCGTTCTCTCCATCACAAGTTCGACGCGACCACTAAGCAGAGGTTCACAGAATAAGCCGTCCTAACCCTCCAAGCGCATGGAAACAATTGAGCGACCTACCGTTGGAAAGCTAAGGGTACCCCCCTTCCTCCCCAACCGGTCCCATCGCTCTGCGATGTATAGTCGCGTCACAAAAAAATGCGACGCATTACTTTCCGGACAAACCCTGTATTCTCTCTTTTCTGCAATTATATTGAAATGTAACTCCATAAATTTTTGTATGTTTTAGATGATTTCTGCTATATTAACGTTTGTATTGATATTATTATAATCAATTAAAAATTTATCGAAAAAGATAATGTCCCAAAGTCTTAAGAAAGTGTTTCTCATCCAGGATTTAGTAATTTTCAAATGCCATCTGATAAACTTGAAGTTTTCTTTCCTCATTTCCTTCTCTACCGCAGCAAAATTGTATTTCATAAAATTAATTTGTTACAGAAATTGAGATGATATATTTTTATTGTAACAGACATATTTTTACAGCCGCGGACTTTTTCATATTAGATCTAATTATATTATTTTCGGTAAGATTCGGATGTGATTCTCTCCTTTTTCCAATTCTGAAATATTACTCCATAAATTTTTATTGTGTGTTTCAGATGATTTCTTCTGCAATTACATTTGTATTGATCATATTATAAATTTAAAATATAAGCTATAGTTTATCATCAAAAAAGAAAATGCCCCAAAAAATTTCATATAATAATATATGTATATAATATAATAGGTACGTAAATTATTTTTACAAAAAAATTGAACAATATGTTTAATTTTAATAAGGATAGTTAAATTCTATTAATTACAAAACTTTAAATATAAAATCTAATATCAATTATCTGCTATACGCATAACAACTCATATATATAACTAATTCACTCTTCTACATGTACGAATAAAATGTAAAAATAAATAGAGAAGAGATAACAGACAAAAATCAAAATAAATGAAAAAGCTCTTATCTTATATTTTGCTATCTTTTCTATGTATTTAGCTTTAAATTAGGCGCGTGTTATGTTTTAAAAGATATAAAATATTATTAAAACTAATAAATATATTATATTATATATATATTATATATTATAATATAAAACTAATTGGAACTTGTCTTAATTGATTTGGTATGATGTATCAATCCGCCAGTGTAAATGTAAAACCACAATTAAGTATGTAATCATAAAAAAGACCATACTGGACATAAAAAAATTATTTGTCTACTATTGGTCGTTTTTTATGAAAACATACTTAATTGTGATAAAACTAATTGTATTACTATATTATATAAAATTGTATAAAGTTATTACAAATATTATAAATATTATATAGACCTTTCTTATACGGAGATTGTGATGCAGCGATAAAAAGGCAAGCTGCGCAACCGCTTCGAGAAGCCCAATGTTAGAGATTAAGAATTTTAGTGCAACTATAGCAAAAGCCAAATAGTAAAAAGATTTGTTGGTCTGTCTGGATAAATATTATCATGTCCTAGCGGACGCGATAAAATCGTTCATTAGCAACTAATAATAACCAATCTTATGACAATCAATTCAAAGCCAGAAATTTGAAAGAGAGAAAAAAATCAAATTATTTTTAAATTTGTCGATATGTGCCAAATAATTTAAAATAATTATTTTACACGGAAATATCATCCTACTTATATCATGTTATTTAACATATTTCTTTATATATATTTATTTACTTGTTAGACGTCATTATTAATCTAGATTCAAAACAGATATAATGTAAGAATCTATATTTTTTAAGAAATAAATAACCAATAATTCATCAAAAAGTTATTTTTGAACAACAAAAGAGCGTGTTCTAACTAATTTCTAGTTAATGTGAACTGATATGACGCAAATGGATTTATGCTAGATGCTATAATAGATGCGTATTGGCGTTTATTGATGATGCGATCATACCAACATTCTATCGCTATTTTAACCTATAATTTCTGTCATACATGTCAGTTATATCGGAAGATAGCGCATGCATTAAAGACAATTTAAAAAGTCATAAAAATCAATAATTTATGTAGAAATATTTATGTATAAGTTACATAGAATCTCTAATAATCATTATATTGTCATATGAATCGTCCAGTTGCGCGTTGCGTAGTCGTTCAAAATAACTAATCGAAAGCTGTTAATCAAGTTGGTGTGTCAGAAACAACGCTTCATTCTTTTTACTATGCCAAAAACGATATCGACATTACAGACACCTTTTCAAAATCTAAAGTTTATAGCAATGCTCTATAGAATAATGGGTTTATTTTCGTGTAAATTAATAAAAGGTCGATTAAAACCAAGTGCTTGTGGCCGTTATTATTGTGCATCATGGATATTGATTCATTGTGCATACTCAGGTGTGTTTTATTATGACATGTACGTGCTATCGCTTAAAGAAGAAAGTGAATCAAAAATTATCTTTTTTTTTACTTTACGGTTTACTGCTTTTATCGCCTCGTTAATTCCTTACAATTGGGTGGCCACTTTCCAGGACCAAGATCTTGTCATGGTAAATAACCGCTAAGTATTTCATACTAATATCGTAGTAAAATATAAATAATTAAAAAATTGAAAAATCGAGCTAAAAATGTGCTAAGATTCAAATACACTTATTACACCACTTGCGATAATATTTTCAGTTTTCCAACAAACTAGAAACGTATGATGACAGAGCGAGAGCATTAGGACACGAAAGAAAAGACAACCACATATTCATATGGCTATTTTTCGTATTAACAGCAGGGAATCTGACTAGAAAGACATACTACGCTATTGAGAGCAAAGTAGCTGACGAAACAATAGAAATAATAAAAATAATATTCGAAGAAATTGTTCCCTTTACCGTAGGCACATATTGCCTCTATATAACTGGCATATTTTTGGACTTGATACGCCAACGTTTCCGTCATCTGAATGAAACGATAATACCTTTCGTTTCACAGTCACCTGTTATCAAATCGTCAGGGGAAATCACGATCTATGACGTGCGCTGTTTACATTGCGTGCTCATCCATAGTGCGAATCTGATAAATAAATTGTACGGTATAGGTAGCTTGCTCACCTCCTTCTCTATATTGATAGAATGCGTCGCATGTATATATGCATTCGCAACAGACGGCATAGATGGAAATGAGGTCGTAACTATGCTGGATTTACTCTTTCAAGCCTTTTACATGTACACAATGTATCATTTTGTGACTTATGAAGTAAATATAAAAAGATTTACTGTAAAATATTAATTTTTTAAGATTATTTCGTTCAAATGTTCAATAAGTTAACATTTCCTTGAAAATAGAATGTTCTTTTGCATCTAAATTGTTAAAAGAAAAAATCTCGAGTATATTATTATTATTATTATTATTATTATTATTATATTATTCCAGGCAAATCGTGTTAAAGATCGTGTGCTAAAATATGGGCTATTCTTTCAAAACAACAAATATCGCATGGTAAACTTTAAATTTCTTCCTCTCTCTTTTCCATATATTTAACATCAAAATTGTAAATTATTTAATAAAAGTAATTTGTTACAGGACAGAACTGAGACAATGTTATATTTTTATCATAATAAATATACTTTCACGGCTGCAGAATTCTTCGTACTAGATCTAACTGTATTATTTAAGGTAAAATCGATAATATATATGTATATATTCTCTCTTCTCTGCAATTATATTGAAATGTAACTCCATAAATTTTTGTATGTTTTAGATGATTTCTGCTACATTAGCATTTGTATTGATATTAATATAATCAATTAAAAATTTATCGAAAAAGATAATGTCCCAAAGTCCCAAGAAAGTGTTTTTCTCTCATCCAGGATTTAGTTATTTTCAAATGTCATCTGGTGAACTTCCTTTCCCTTTTTCCTTCTCTATCGCAGCAAAACTTTATTTGATAAAATTAATTTGTTACAGGAATTGAGATGATATATTTTTATCCATAACAGACATATTTTTACAGTCGCAGACTTTTTCATATTAGATCTAACTATATAATTTTTGGTCAGTAGGTATGTTCTTTTCTCTTTACAATTATATGTAACTCAATATCATAAATTTATGTTTTGGATGCTTTCTGTTGCATTTACATTTATATTTATATTAATGTAAATCTTGTAACGAGCTTAAGATTTATTGAAAAATGTAAGAAAATTTCATAAATGTAAATAAATATATATTTTTATGTATATATATTTCATTTAATCTAACCGAATATAATTACACTTGCAAAATGAAGTTATATTATACTTTGATGATAAAATCTCAAACACTGCAACGCATGCATAAAAATATATTAATTAATTTGTATAAAAATTCAATACTGAAATCTTTAACAGAAAACAAAAAATATTATTTTCCACAAAAATTTTTTGACAAAAATATCTGTGCGCTTTCCACAGCGCTGCACATCTCGCGCGAGACTGATCGCTGACCGCTGACTGCTGACCGCCAGGTCCGCAAGACTCTGAACAGCAACGGTGTCGCCATCTAACGGCGAAACTTTACTTCACAGCCGAGAGAGAACCGGACTACGAGAACATCTCTCTCTCTCTCTCTCTCTCTTTCTCCTTTCATTCTTTCCATTAGACGCGTGCGTCCCATACATCCACTTTGCTGCACGTCCGGCGCGAGACTAATCTCCACCACTGACTGCAATATTTGCGCAGCGGTCTCGCCATCTGACGGTGAAATCTAACACTAACAGCTAAAAATGAACAGGGCTTAACGAAACATCTTTCTCTTTCTAGCCTTTCTATAAGATTAGTACACCCCACACGTCTATCACGTTGCGCGTCTCGCGCGAGACTGATTTTCGTGCGAGGTATTGCGATTGCGAGACTGATGGTCACGTGATCAGTCCCACGCGAGGCGCGCCACGTGAGGGATGCATCGGACGCGCAATTTAATGGAAATGTAGGTATTTTGATCGATTCATGTAGAAAATGTTATTTTATTTTCTGTTAAAGATTCTGTGGTGTATGGACGCTCGAGCATGTTGAGTATGAGTGAGAGAGACGTGACGCGGCCGGAGAGGCGGCGTCAGAGTGGAGCATGGGGGGGGGAGCCGTTAAGGGCAGCCGCCCGTAGCACAGGCCGCGGGCCCGACGGCAGTATCTTGTAAGGGGTAGAATAAAGCTGATATCCAGTAATACTGATTTACGTCTAGAGAATCCTTTAGCACACCACCGTAGTTACGTACATAACAGATTCAAATATTTAATTTTTATGCCTTACATAATTGATATATTTTTATGTATTGCAATTTTTGAGATTTTATTATCAAAAAATAATATAACTTATCGCTTCGCGTGTGTAATTATATATTCGGTTAGATTAAACGAAATAAGAAAATTATAATATATAAATTATATTTCTAAAAAATTAAACAGTGTTTAATTTCAATGAGGGCAGCAAGGATTGTTTATTATAAAACTTCAAATATAAAATCTAATATCAATAACATATTATAAGATAAATATTTACACACAATAACTCATATACATTAATATACTCCTACGAATGTATGAGAAGTGATAACGAACGCATAAGATATAAATAGAAAAAAATAATTAAAAAAAGCTATTGTTTTACACTTTGCTGTCTTTTTTTATGTATTTGGCTGTAAATTAAATAGCAAAGAAGATGTCCATTATAAATCGCTTGCACAATAGATATACTTATGTTTTTTTTACTTTAAATAGTATAATAAAATATATTAATATATTAATTATAGTAAAAACAAAAAGTACGTTAATGAGCTTCACCACATCATATCCGTTTCCGAATTGGCACGCGCTAAAGGATTCAAACATAAACTTTTCAGAACTTGTACAGCCTCCTCCCCGTCATCTTTTGCATACAGAGTGGTTCTCTTCGCGCTTCCGGTTTTAATCCTGCCAAATGTATCTACCAGCGAGCTCACTTTAATCCCATGCCTTTTGGATCTAGTCGTTTTCTTGAAGGAATTTTTCGAGGACAACGATCCCGCTTTCGTCGTGGTAAACGATGGACGACGATGTTTCCGCCTGGATCTCTCGCCGCTGTTAATATTATCGGAATGACCCACCGACTTGATTGTCGATCGTGTAACGTTGTGATCAACGTTTCTAGAATGTATCATCGTGCGATCTGGCTGCGGCGCTTTTCGCTTTTGAGTTCGACGTCGCACGTTCGGCACGGTGCGAGGACCCTTATAAACAGACCTCACGGTCCTTGCAATTCGCAGAGGATCCAGAAGCAGCTCGTGATTGTGCCAGGAAGCTACGACAGGTAAGCCGCAGGCGTTGTGCATACCTACCAACGGCACACCGATGCCTCGGTGTCCCTTTACCTCGAAGAGCGATCGATACCTAGGATTGGACTCGCGCAGGCTACGTCGAGCGTTCTGCTCGTACGCCGATATCTTTTGACCAACGTGACCCTGCGATACTCGTAACGCATCCGTGTTTTCCGCCTTTTCATCTTTTGTACACGTTGCCATTGCTGCATTTCCCGAAGACTCGTGCGTACATTTTGAAGGGCGGTGATCGTAATTCGAATTAAATCTCCTATGTGAACTCCTGTGAAAATATTCATCTATATCGGAACCGTCTTGAGTCTTTGGATCTTTCATCTTACTAAAATATCGAGTCTCTTCGTTTTTGTTCGGATCAACGCAACAACAGCCACGTGGATCACGTGATTGACTGTTACAATAGTGACAGAGAGATCTCCTGCGAGCATTATTGGCTTCCATTTGCGCAGCGGTGCACGTAATCTGCGACGCTGTCCGATGATGCAAGTTACTGGTTATAGGAATGATTTTCCTCGACGACATATAGACGCTCTTCTCAGGTTCGGAGACTAGAGTCTCGAATTGCAATTGAGGTGCCACGGATCGTCGCAAGGTTCCGATGTTATACGCGATCGATGCTTGGTAATCTTTAATGGGGATGCTTCTAACTGTACCGCCACCTTGAGGTCTTTTAATCTTAATCAGCTTGTCATTGTTGCTAATTTTCTTGGCGTTATCATTCACGATCTTTAAGGGCGGCGCATTCTGTGAGAATCTTTTAAGATATTCCTGAGGACGATTATCGATTATAACGTCGACCGCTCGTTCCTCATACGTTTGATCGTTTTGTAATAAATCCTCGGAGTACTTGGGAGGATTTCGCCATTCCTCGATTATGCTCTTTCTACTCGAAGCTAATACACTGTATTTAGTATCATCGCATGTGGTTTCTCGCTTATTTGCCTCTTTAACGTCAACCGCTGTCTGTCCTTGACTGCCCTCCAGCCATCTTCATGATTTGGCACCAAAAGTCGTCCCGGCCGTGTGCATCCTGTTCTCGATACCTATACCTATGTAATTCAAAGAAATTATATAGAGAAAAATATGAGATCAATATTAAAAATTAAAAATAATTTTATAATAATAAAAATTGAAAATAATTTCATAAATTGTAATATATAAAGGAATATAAGTATAAAGTATTTTGCAATATTTATACAGCGTGAAATCGTGCGACCTAAAATTGCGAGTTCCAAGACAAAGAAAGTACTCTTACTAAAATCGTGCTCGCTCTCGGTGAATGGGCTTAAAGTCTGCGTAGAAGTAAAAGTCGACGCCTGCGATTTGCTTCTCCTGTTTCCTCGAGAGCAAGCGAAAAGTATGCTGAGAAGCGTCGTGACTTCGACAAACATGACAGCTAATATAATAGCCAGCAGGATTAGTGCCTGATCCTGTGTCCACTTCTCGATATGTTCAAGACAACCCTGAATATAGAACAAACAAATTAATGAAACACGTGTCACAATCGACATTAATATGTGCGATGAAGTATTGTTGCAGAAATGAGTCAGAGCTACCCGCATTTAAATAAATTCGCCTTATTGTTAATCTTTCTGTGAGAGCCTTGTCAGACAAAACAAACGAGGACATGCCGGTTTTATCGCAAATTTTTCAACAAAGCGCGAAAAATTTATTTACAAAATACGAGCGTTGAAATGAATCGATAGTTTTCGAAATAAAAATGAAATTTGCATCTCTCCCAAATGTCGTTTCACGAAAAAAAATTATATTTTTATAGATAGGTTATATAAATAAATTTTTATAGATAACTATAATTTATAGATACTTTTTCGCTTTTATGCAAGAAAGTAAGCAAGTTAATTATATGATTAAAATAAAATAGCTATCCAACTTTGTGTAAAATGAGAGTAGCAACGCAACGTAAATCGTGCTTTTATTGGCAAAATGTCGATATTCTATATTTAAGACTCATTTTGCCCTCGTTTTGGTATATGCGGATCTGGACATTTATTTTTTAATGAGAACCAAAAGTACCGTCTCGCATGCGTTCGCACGGCACGGCGAAACGAAAAAAAGGGGAGCAATAACTTCCTGATTATCATACCGCTGTGTGTCGGGCGTATTGATGTTCGGCAGGGTTCAGAGCCTGGCAGAAAGTGAGATTGGCAGGCTCAGGGTTGAGGAAAGAGTCCGTCTCATTGGCATTATTAAGGGTGCAGCAACTGAGAGGTACTACTAATTCTCTTCGGCCGACTTCCTGCAGCCGCCACCACGACGTGCCGTAATTGCTACTTCCGTTTATGCCGCAACAGGCGAACTGTAATCGTCACAATGATAACGACCCGTATTTCTTTTTGTAACAATGAGCTAGCTATGTCGTTCAAGTAAGACACATTTACGATGGAAGTGTATAATAATATGCAATCATTACTTTTATTTTGATATATAAAATAATCTTGATAAGTGTATAAAATATGTAAAACATAAGAAGTTGTGAAAAGAAACAGCGTATATAACATTTTAATTTATTTCTTATAAATTTAATTACCATTAATTTGTTAAAAAATTTTGATACAAGTGATGTAATCAATTTGTTTATATAATACTTAATTTTTAAATAGTTAAGTAACACAATTATGTGATGAGAAAAAATATTGGGTCTTTAAAATCGATATTTTTCCTTTTTGTATAAATTAAAAAATGATTAAAAATTCTTTTACCGTCGTTTGTGCAAGATCGAGGGCTGCTGTGAATTGTTCGCGTCCGGGAACGGCGTAACTACGTTGCAAAGCGCGTATTAAACGCGCCGGTCTTACATCGATCCCCAATATATGAGGCCAAAAAACAGCGATAATACATACGGTACATTCACCGAGTAGCAGCAAGATTATCGTCACGAGATACTGGAACGAGCAAAATCAAAAAATCAATCCCAAATCATCCATAGGGGGTTGCAATTTTGCATGCTACAATGTACGCCTACATTCGCGAACAATATCTTTTTACATATAAAAATATACCTGCTTAATTTCATAATTCAATAGCAATAATATATATTTATGATTATAATAATAATGTATTTTTAATTCAATCTTTTATTACCTACTAATTTGTAAGTAAAAATTGGAAACGCTAAACAATTTTTGTTTTTCAGGAAAAAGAGCATCATCGCGTATTATTTATTCCCTCATCAAGCTAACTCACATTCGCTCGTCCATGAGCAAATAATTAGTGTTTTTACGCGGCGCTCGGACGCGCCCTCCTTTTATTTACGCGCGTGTCTGCATAAGAGCAGATCCGTTTCCGGGCAACGACGCGTGACTGAATCCAAAGGAAATCTAGTTTCAGATAGGCTCGATGAATAACGAACCATAGTAAATTCACAACGAAATGTTGCAAATAGAATAGACTAGTTGCGTAATTAACGTAATTTCAATTTTTATTGAAACGAATTCATTGTTCCTAAATACGCAAAGACTATTATGTATATATATTATGTACTTTATTGATTCACACTGTTAAAATTATTGCTATAAAAAAAAATTTTTTAATTATCATTGTATAAATTGAATATTATTATATATTTGAGTGACACGGTAAAAAGAATATGAAAAAATACTGACACTATGTTTTCAAATATGTATATAAAATATTATTAAACACATGTATAAAATTTATAAATTGTATTTATTAATTTTATAAAATATTATATAAAATCTTTATTCTTACGGAGATTGTGATGCAACGATTGAAGAGACAAGCTGCCCAGCATCCGAGAAGTCCGGTGATAGCGATGAGAAATCCTAGTGCAACTATAGCAAAAGCTAAATAATAAAAGAGTGGTTGATCGGGATGAATGTCACCAGGTCCTAGTAGACGCGATAATAAAATCCGTTCACTATCGGCTAATAATAAACCACCCAATGACATCAATGCAAAACCTGAAATCTAAAAGAGAGAAACAGATGGAATTTTTATAAAAATTGTATCGATTTGTGTCAAAAATAATTGAAAATAATTATTTTACACGAGATGTAAAATAATGATCGATGTAGTTTGTGCCATATATGTTATTGAACTATTTCTTTTTTTTATTTATACAACATTATCAATCGAAATTCATTAGAAACACTCTGAGAAATAAAATTCTATATTTGAGAAATAAATAATATCAATAACTCACCAAGAAAATTATATTCGAGCAACAAACAAAGGCCCGCGATATGGCTAATCTCCTAGTTGCCATTGTTATGTACGTCCGACGCGTTCGTTTTACTGAACAATTATTGATTTGCAAGTGACTTTTTGGTCGTTTCCACGATCACACTCTGCGCACTGCATAATAATTCGACTCGTACAATTTTGTCATTTGACAATTCGCTGTGCGTTACAATCCGGTCTTCCTTCGAAGCGGACCTGATCGCGTATGTTCGCGGACTGAAAACCCCCTCGTTTGCGATGGATGCGGCTTCGCCATACGGGGGTCTGTAGGCGCGCTTGCGTGCCCTCGTGTGCGACCGACCGGACGGAACCGGAAGGAAGTAGAAAGGTGTGGATGGAAAAAAAAAAGCGGAGGGGAAATGAAAAGTTTATATGCACGCGGTTGTTTGCCGATCGTTTCGTGTACGATTGGAATCAATGGCTCACTTGATCAGAAGGGGAACTTTGAATGGCAGATGTTCACTCGATCGTTGTTCAGGTATTGAATATACTTTCGATATATTAGTTTTATACTATATCGAAATTGCATTATTTTTATTATTTCTGTGTATATTATTTGTTGACAGATATTAAAATTATATACTAAAATTATGATTTATCCATTTTAATAATTTGATCATTAAAATATATTGTTTATATTTATATTGCAGCTTTTTATGAATTTAGTTATTTTATAAAAAGTTTGGCTAAAGCACTTTGGAGGTACTGAATGGAACGATACGATATTTCGAGATGTTTTAAAATATTTATACAAAGAAGCTTTAGAGTGTGTTAGACTTTTTGTAAAACCATACATTTTTCTATAACAAAATTGAAGAATAATAAAAAACTACACAAAGAGATTAATATTCTTTATTCTTATTTTGCGATTTCTTAATAAAAAAGTACCGTTTTATAAACTGGTTGAGTTATTTATAAAATGATTTATAAAACGATTAAACTCACAAATATCTTTAAAATATATTATTCTTTTACAGTATATTATTTTATAGCTAGTCGAAAATCGTATTTATAAAAAACACGATATATATTCTTTCATATTTATGCAAAAATATTTATTATTTAATAAGAAACGTAATAAAGTACTTTAATGAACATTTTATTCTTTTAATGTTGGCATTAATTTGTAATAAATGACTATATATTCTCGGGATTATGTATTTATTATTGAAATCTTATGGTGTAAATGAACTTGCAGGCTATATGCCGCGTAACAGGGCAAAAAGATATTTTATGCGCATTATTGTAAGTGTGCACGAAGCCTATCTCCTCTCGTCTACATTAATTCAGCTGCCACACCATGCACTTCCCGTTAAATGGAATAGGCACGCGCTTATATGTGTACGTAAAAATTCAATTTGTTATTTACTGGTACAAAATAAAATTGAGAATATAGGTATGTCTCGAATATTCAAAATAATGATATTAATAAGCGATAAAACTTGTAATGGCCAAAATAATTGTATATTTTGATAAAATATAATAGATGAAGGAATCTACTGTAAAATATAAATTTTTATTTCAATTAATATAAATATAAATGTATATAAATATATGTTATATTATTTAAATTTAAATTTTAATAAAGCTAGAATTCCAATACATTTTTACGAGTTCCACTCATGCAACCAACAGAAGATGTTATTGATTCATCTTGCTCTCGTTGTGATGTGTCTTCAAATTCAGGCGGCAAATGTAGAACCTTGAAAGACGAAATAAATAGTATAAAAATTCACATCAATATCAATACAAAATTTAAGTAAACAAATCATATAATTGACTAACTTCTATGACGAATTTTTTCCGACGTAATTTAAACGCTAGATCTCTAAATTCTGTACACCGAGGTGCCAATGTATTTAATGTAGACAATTTTTCAATATGCAAAAGGCCATGATAATCCTTGAATAATGGATTGGTCTCTTTAGCAGATCCTGCAAATGATTCTAATCTGACTGCTATGTCTGACATGTGTTCCATTCTCTCAATAACAGCATCCTAGAAAATGTATACATTATAAAATTAATTACTAGTAGAAACGAATCACTAATAAAAATCAGTTCTTCAAACTTACAGTATTGTCGAAATTAATAATTGGAACTGTTATTACAGCAACTGCATATGAATTCCTCAAAAGTGCTCTGAAGCAATATAAAAATTTTAACAAATCTCGATTTGAAGATTCCTCCGTATCAGAAAGCCATAATCTTGATCCCAAAGAATGTACAGCAATTCTTAAAATTTTCTTCTTATCTGTCATTTCAGAGATAAAATGTTGTCCATTTTGTAAAGTTTCTTGAACTGTAAGTAACAAGTCTGTGTATGCAGTGTTTTCAAATATATTATTTTGCCGCTGTAGATTATTTTCGTGCCATTGTATTATTTCTGCATGTTCTAAGAGATCCTGTTGCATTGGTTTTGTAAGATCGTAGTAATGACCAAAGATTTGACTTCCCGTAGGTGATGAGTCTACCACTTTCATATTTTGATATCGCCAAGCAATTTTCATTTGTTCATCTATATTACCTACAGTTTTTGCATGTAGATCCGAGTCTTTTATAACTGCAGGCAAATCTGATACAAGTTGAGAAGGTTGAACATCTTGCGAAGCAACCAGTACAGGCTGAGATGTAACTACTCCTTCTGCCATAAAGTATTTTAATGCAGTTTTAGCATAGAGGCCATACTTGTCTTCTTCTGTAAGTAATAATTAAACATAAATATAGTTTATATAAAATAGCTTATATGTAAGATATTTATAGTTTACATGTAGTTATTTAAAATATAATAAACTCATCAAATACATACCAATTAAAAGTATTGAACCAATAGGTAAACCTCCGCCTAAAATGATAACAAAAGATTATAGAAATACATTATTTTGTAAAAAAAGAACAGTACATTGAAAACAAACCTATTATATTATCTAATGAAGGTATCCCTGTTGAAATAAGTAACTGTGCATTTTTTATAGACGGCTTTGTGCCTGGTATCACAGGAAACTTAGTTTTAACTTTCGTCGCTCCAGTAATAATCCCTTTCGTATCAGAAGCCATATCCGAATATATTATCTGAAAAATAACGTAGCATTTACATAGACAATTTCTAACCTAAAAAAAGGAACTAGTAGAATTACATTTTACATAGACAACATATAAATACAATTTTCATATTGACACTTTATATCTTTACTAATATACATATATAACAATTATAACAAAAATGATCATTCACCTGTCAATATATAATCCAGATTATTTTCGACTCTAGACAGTTTCACGTGCTGCAAACATTCTATATTTTCACGACTTTATTATCGATTATCCTACAATCGATTACCTCCACAACTCCTCCGTAACTTGGATGTCAGTCGCGCGATGGCAGCACGTTGAACGAAGTCGATCGGCGGCGGACGTTCGCCGTAGTTTCCCTTACGGTCGTCAGAGTGCGACCGCGTCGCGGCGGCAGTAATTATGGTTCGTCGTTTGAACCGCGCGTTCGTTCTATCCCTATGCGCAGTTCTGTTAATGGTATCGCGCGTTCGATAGAAGCGAGTCCGGCGCGGTCCTTCGTGCTTTGGTTTCGTCGGCGGATGCGATCGCGCGCGAGCGTCCGCGTGAGAAACCGAAAGACGAGGGAAAGGGAGAGAAGACAGCTGTCAAACGAGACGCCGAGACGCTCGCGCACGCGCGCGCGTGCGTGTGTGCGCGAGACACGCGAAAAGTAAGGTTATGCAATTGTTTGCGCTGCGAGTCGCTCGCGCGCGGCTCGTTTGATGCCAACGACATATACATGTGATTCATTCGGATCGTGTTCGAGTGCGTGTCCAGTGACATCCGCGCGAGAGTGTATCTCTGACAGTTCGAAGAAATGACTCTCGCGTCAGACGACAAATAAATATCCGGGATGTTCCTCGCGAGCGAGTGCACTTTTCGCTTCCAAGTGACGGGAATCATCGATCTCGACGTAACGAGGGCCAAGAAAAAAAGAGAGAGAGAGCCATGACGGGGAAACTCGCGCGAGGAGGACGGAAGGACGGAGGCGAGCGACGAGAAGAGTGAAATTCCGCGGAAAAGTGAGTTCGCGCGCAGTAAAGTTGAAGCGGTGAGTGCGCGCAGAGGAACTCGGCCGGGTGAACTCCCCTCTCCCATTATCGCGTCGTCTCCCGCCGACTTCGCGCACGCCTTCCTCCCTCCCTCCCCGAAGCAGCTCGCGTTTGTCGCCGTATGTTTCCTTCTCGTTCTATCCGGCAGACGGCGTCTCTCTTCCGCGGTGCCGTTTGACGACCTCTCGCTCCCACCCGCTCTCTTTTCTTCTCTTTCTCCGGACAGCACGCTGCCCTCGCTCAACTACCTGTTGTGACGTCCAGCGCGCTCGACGCACCGATCAAATCCGCCGTAAATACCGAACCGAGAACGGTCTCGCAGTGTTTACTCGTGTTTACTCGGTGAATTTTCCTCGAATTAAACGACGATAACATTGAGAGGACACGTTCGGGAAAATATTTTCGAACGATGAGGAGAGCCGGCGAAACGCGACTATCACGGTGAAGGAGGATCCCCGCGAAAGGCCTGTGTTGTGTTGTGTTGCGTTGCCCGTCTATCCCTCCCTTCTCTCTTACGCCAGCATCTCCGTGACGAGAGCGATACACAGACGAGCGCGAAGGGGGAAGAGCGAGAACAGAGGCGGAGAACGAGAGCGCGACAAGGACGACGCGCGCCCGCGTGATGGAGAGAGAAGGAGCGAACGAGAGAAAGGACTCGAGCGGACTCTTATCGAGAAGTTAGTCGCGCGCGGCGAACCCACCGACGTCAAATCTTGCGTTGCGCGCCTCGTCGAGAGTGACAGTTCGCGGACGAATTCTCGGGATTCTCGACGGACCCTTCGAGAGTGTGACGTGTATTTTGATATCGCGGACGATACGGTTGTTGACATTCGGCACGCGCATTCGACTTATATTATATTGACAGTCGCGGAGTTGTTTCGAAATAATATCTATCGGAGGAGAGTCCGGTGAGCGGGAGACGTGGTGCGACGACGCGCGCACTATCGCGCGCGCGGTCACGTGGATCGCGAAGAGAACAAAAGGCGGAACGCGCCGCGTTCATTGACGAGTCGTGTCGACGCCGCGCGCCGGTGGCATCGCGTCACACGTACATCGGAATACTCGCGTCGCGTGTGCGTATACATATACATGTGTGTGTGTGTGTGTGGGGCGACTGGAATCTCTTCGGCGCGCTGATATATCTCTCTTTCTCTTGACAATCGTATTAGTGCGGTCGTATTTTCGAAAAGGAATATAAATCTCGCGAGAGACAAAAGTCCCGGGGGCGCCTCCGCGCGAGCGCCGAGATTATTATTATTTATTCCGGCCAGATGCTTCTTCCCTGCCGGAAGTCAGGCAGGATCGTCGACGAGCCAGCGAATTGGAGGATGCTCGGCGGCCGGGTGAAGCAGCCGGTGGTTGAGGACGACGACGAGGTCGCGCGACCGGCATCGCGCGTTATCATCGACGACCACCTCGGTGGCACTCATTGAGAACTGGCTTATCCTGCGGTGGATTTAGGGGGCTGTATGGAGGCCGGGGGGCTCCTGCCCCGTCAGCCCCCGCAAGGCCCCCCGGCACCATCCCCGTGTGCGCGGGCCAGGGCCCGAACGGGCACGCCGTATCCGGCGCCGGTAACGTCCTCGGCCAATCCGCGATTCACGAGTTGAACGCGACCGGTCAGCTGGGCTTAACCGGCCAGCAGCAGTTGCATCTGCAGCAGCATCAACAACAAATGGGCCAGGCACCCGGCATGGGTGAGGTGCTCACCCCGAAGAGGCAGGCGGTCGTAGACCGTTTGCGACGTAGAATCGAGAGTTATCGGCGCAGACAGACCGATTGCATCCCGAGGTTCGATCAGAGTTTCAACGGATTGTGCGAGCAGAATACGTACGACACCCAGGTGCTGAAGCAACGTTTCCTCGAGAGCAAGGCCAAGCGCCAGGCCAAGAAGACGGACAAGAAGCAGAGCGACTCGGTTGGCCTCTCCAACGTTCATATGGTGAGTCCTGGATCTCTTTTTTTTTCTCTTGCATCGTCTTCTGCCCGCCTTCATCGCTCGGGCAAGCGTAGGTGTGCCTACGCCGCTGTGGGAATTCGAACTTGTTACAAAGTCAGTGGCGGGGGCTCTCTTCCTTCCTTCCTTCCTTCCTTCTTTCTTTCTTTCCCCATCGAACTTCCTCACCTTGGAGGTGGAAGCGCGCACGAGTGTGACGCACTTTCGCGTAACGAACGTTCCTGTGTATTCGATACACCATTTCGAAAGATTCAAACATATCCTCGCGAATTGTCTTCGTGATATTTAGCATTTCTGATAGGTTCGATTAATCCAATTTTTATTTTTAATCTTTTCTTCGATTTTAATTTCTTTTGGCGCGGAAAATCTCGATATCTGGCCCTTTTTTGCGGAAATAATCCGTGTTATTCCCATATACCGTTAATCGAGTTCACGAATTATTGTCCAAATATTATTTGAGAGATACGTATATATGCGGGTATCCCAGTATTGATGGCATTTAATCCGAAGCCTCGAATCGTGTCGGTCGGTTACCGTATGCGAATAGTAACGCTTATCAGTTCGGATGATGACAATTGAAGATAAGCAGTTGTATGATGTTTTCTCGAACAGCGTTTCGCTTTTCAATGCCGCGATATTGATCGAGAAATCTATTTCTAAAACTGCGCTTTAGTCGTAGGAAAAGTAATCATGTGACGTTCGAACGGAGCGAATTATGTATAAATATTTTAGATATTTATTTTTATATTTGATGTATATTTTTTCATATTTTATTTATCATACAATTATTTGATGTAATTATTTATAAAACACACCCTTTTCGTCCCACTCTAAATTTTATGGACGTAGTTAACAAGACAAACTTTTATTTTTTAATAATAATTGTATTTTAAATACAAAATTTTATTAATTTCCAAGGAACAATAACTATACTTGTAGCACTCGCGTACAAGTGTATAAAACTCGAAAAAAATATGTATGCTCTGTTAGAAATTGAATAAGAGGCGACTTCGAAATATTTTTATTTGACCGTGCCAATTAATCGCGCGCTTGTACTCTTCGTCGAGGAAATCGATGAATTTAACGTGGCGTTGAAATCGAGACGGAACAAGTGGACACGTGGATCGTTAAGGTCGTAGGTCGCGCCCGCGCTAGTTACCCGTAGGCGTTCGATTCGAGACGTCCCTGTGTTAACCTTGGCTTTACGTCAATGCAGGGGCGTTCTTACGATCCTCGCTACGCGTAACGTCATTGTCACGAACGTTCCGCGCAAAATGGTTACACGACTTTGCATGTCGCGTGCAAATATCTTTCGTTCGGAAATAAAAAAGACCGAATATTTCCATCAGCTCGCAATTAAATACCGAATGTCGCTGGATACGCCATATGTGCGTTTAATTATTTCTCTGATTGTGGTGTAGGAGGGAATTTACAAATTACACATTCCGAACATTATTTTATTAAAATGATTATTAAAAGTAAGAGAGAAAATAATTATTTTTTAATAAAGAAACGGTAAAATATGATCCATTAAAAAAAAATCAAAGATACATAGTTCGAAAGTCAACATACTATAAAATTAACATAAAATTCCATTTTAAAAATTAACAACCTATACTAAATCATGGTTCGAAATTAAAATGTGAATATATAATCACGTCCAATTAATTTATACGTATATGATAAAAACAGATACATATATGTGATATATTTTTCACGATGCTTTTCAGATTATTTTGCCTCGACTAAAATTTTCTTAATATATAATTTATTTAAAGCGAAATTGACAAGACAAATAAGATACGATAAAACATTGATTTGTTTGCCATAATTATTACGTTGTCAACGTACGCGAGCGTGTGCGATATTAAGTAATACGGAAATGTGAACGTCATCGAGGCACACTTTATAAATGTCGCGTGCAAAGATGAACGATAACAACTTCCCCACATCGGATGACGTCGGGTCATCGATGTGTGTTGTATGTGTGTAATGTTACGTGTACACGGCTCGTCCTACGAATCGCCGTCACCCATAAAGGTGATAGGTAACACTCACGTCATACGAAATTGTTACAAAGTTGATATAATTAATTCGCATGACCGCATGAAAGACCCGCCGTAATATATAAAAGGCGGAAATATCTGGAGCGTTTATCAATGAACCAGATTAATACGGAAATTAGAAATCGTACAGCTTGCACAAATTTGCATCTTTGTTCGTGTAAAATCGGTAAAATATTAAAATGCAATTGTGAAAGAAATATTTAATATTACATCATTGTTCGTTATATTTTCTTTACGCAGTACCCTATATTTATTTCTTACGGATTATATTAATGAAGTGATTAAACTTTATAACGAAGGTACAACGATTGCTTCTCAGAGAATTGCCTGTGAAAGACAATTTTCTTCCTTTAAGAAATTAGAAACTTTACGTTTATCTTACACTAATCAGAATTTAAATATTTCACACTGTCTAATATTTTAGAGCAGCTAACATAATCAAATTATAATGTTTTTTCTTCAATTTCTTTTTATCACGAACATTTTCTTTATCGTTGCCGATTTCGTGTCGAATCCAAATAAAAAAAAATTCCTCAAATTTACCTCAAATTACAAAGGTTTCAATCGATATGCAGAATCACTTCTCCTCGTGCTCGAGGAACAAAGTCGCGCAATCGTACCACACCGATGCTCCGGTTCTTTTGCGATATCGTTCGATTGATAGCGAGTTATCGCGCGAACAAAACGTGCAGGGAAGACTACGAGGAAGAGAACGGACAGGAAACACTATCCGATGCGATGCAACAGGATCGTCGAGAATCGCGTACACTCGCGCGGTCTCATCTCGCAAGGTTGTCTCTTGTTTTTTCTTTTCTCGCTCGAGTTCTAGCGCGTGTTCAGGTCGCGTTCCGCTCATTCATAACGCGCCGCGAACAATGGCGGGCCACCGCGATGCGGGGGAAAGCTATGGGAATCACGATTTCCGCCGAGAGAGAGAAGCTAACCGCGGTGAACCAGATCTAGAAGCGCCTTCCTTTCGGCATCGCCGCTCGATTCCGCGTGTTCCCAATTTATATCTCTCGGAAAACGATCGTGTTATGTAAGGGATTTGCTATCGAGATTTTTATACTAATAACATATCAGATACAGCAAAACAATTTGCACTACTTGCGCAATAATAATGGAGGATAATATACTTATGTGTAAAGACAATTTTTTTTTATCTTCAAGAAATTTTTATTCGAAAATTAAAAGCCATTTTTGTCTCTTGAATAAGCTTCTTTTTCTGTGTATATATGTATTTTTTATAATGTTGTCAAAATATTGCAAATATAATGATTACTCGACGTATTACTGTTAATCATGTTTAAGAGTAGAGAAGATATATGCAAGTAAATATTATTGCAAAAATATCATTATTCATAACTCGACAAGCACGTGTAAAATGTTTTCTATGTGCGGATAATTTTTATCAAAATATCTATATAAGATTAGTTTTATAAGAATTTCAATCATCGAGTTATTATTAATATATTGATTTGATTAGAGTTCACAAACTATATCGCGACGAGAAATTATCATTGTTATTAAAAATTCAAAATTTGTTGAAAAATAAATTTATTCATAGAATTTAAATAGTATATATTGTGTTTATTCTCTAATTCTGACGTTAGTAGAAGTTTATCAAATTTTAATAAAGCTTGACTCACGGAATATACGATAACGAAATATTTAAATAGTAACACTTTTCTGATATATTACGATTTTCATGCATATTAAATATGAATAAAAGTAACTAATGTGTGCGCTCGTAATATAGTTAAAATTTCAATATTCTCGACAATAATATGAGAGAATATTACATTTTTTTCGAGCAACAAGATCGGTTCTTAACGAGGTCTGCGAAATTGATCCCGAAATGCGAATTTTTACAAAATTGATATATGGCATTTGATTGTCCATAATTTGTCCACATTTATTCATAGATAATCGTTTTTGATCCATCATGCAAAAAAAAATTTAAATCGCATTTAAGGAATGCTTCTGAAAAAAAGTTTTGTTGTTTTTCGACAAAACAGAATTACAGGTTAAATTGACCAGAATTTCTTTTAATGCAACAAGAATCTTGGTTAGCACAAACAACTGATTTGTTGTGCAAACAAGATTCTTGTTGCATTAAAAGGAATTATGATCGATTTAACCAATAATTTCTGTTTCGTCGATTTTCGAACAGAATTTTTGTTAATATAACAAAATTTTTTTCCAGTATTATAATGAAATTGATTGTTGATTTTTTATCTTTAATTTTTATTTGCAAGATGGACAAAAGACGATTATTTATGATCAAATATATATGAACAAATGATCGAGAAATCGAGGGAGAAATGAATGGGTAATCGAGAAATGCATAATATGTATATAATTTTTTTAAACACATCTAGGGGTACTTATGATAAAATATATTTTTTTTATTTTAAATTTCTTTTTGCAAAGTGGACAAAAAACATATCAATTTGATAAAAATTCGCATTTTGGGGTGCGATTTCTTAACGCGCGCGACATGTACGGAATCGTTTTGTCGTTCGGTCGCGGTTCGTTCTTATTCAAAGCCGTCCGGTGCCACGAATGACACGTGTCAGAGGGAGGCTGTGGCTCGCGACACGAAGGATGCCACTCCGACTAGATCGGCAGCAGTGGTGCTCAATCGGTGACGGGAACTATCCCGCGATCGAGCCGGTTGGTGCGGTGCACTCGAGGTTATTTGTTCGCGTTCATTCTTATCCGACGCTACCTCGACAGTGAGTCACTTGCTGAACGGCGAACGAGATCGGCGAGATCAGTTGCAGCGACGCTCATCCTATCGAACGAGATACTGTCTTGTTTTGATCGAGACTCTTACCTTAAGGGTGCTCAACTAATAACTCTTAGTTTCTCTCGACACATTTTTCACTACGAGATACCATTCCGAATTATGGGCTG